GTAGCTTTGAATAGAACATCTATCGATCGGTTTCTATTTTTATTATCTTTACATAATTAAACTCCACTAATAGGGGTCTGCATTGGATGGTGTTAGTTGTAAAACTCATTAGGCTAGTAACACAATTATCTTTAATTAACATGGATGAATAATCCTCTTCACACAGGAATAGTGAGTCGTCAATTTCTTTACATAGGTGAAGAAGTGACACCGCTTTCAACCCTTTCGTCAGAAGGTAGGGTATTTGGGAACAATAAGGGGACGTTTGGTTCATGGAATTAGTGATAGGTAAAGGAAGTATTCTGTAATATAGGTATGTATTCGAATCAGCTAAGGGTATATTTAGAATAAAGGTTATTTGATTTTACTTTGCATATACTTTTAAATCTGTACTTTGCTTTAATTTTAAAGTGTTTTCAACTTTTACAGGAAATACATTCTAGCTAGAAGCACAACAGTGTCATTTCTCTAAATACACTAAGAATTCGCCTTTTGAGTTCGGACGTATTACGGAACTTAGTTGCATACACTCGGTGCTTCACTTCTCCCCAAAGATAAAAGTCCAGCGGGATAAGGTCGGTTCATCGCCCAGGAAACTCCTCAACCAGCATAGCCCTGATTTGCAGCTGAAAATGTGCAGGGGCACAGTCATGTTGGTAGTAGAGGTTTCTCAGTGAACGAAGAGGCACACTTCCACTGCACGTTTATGTAGGACATAATTACAAATTAAATACACTCGCACCAAAATTACAACCTAAAGCGACGTATAATGTCGGCACTGCGCGGCGCTGTTTTAAATCAAATTAACACGTACATTCCGTACCGACGCAGCGAAAGTGACTGACACACTGACACAGTGACATTGGCCTTGACTGCGAATCGCTGCCGCTGCCTACGATATGTTGAGTTTTTTTGTTGTGAATTCTGTAGGTATATCCCTACTTGCCTAGGATGAAATAATTGTAAGAAAAAATTGAGATTTGACTAAAAAAAAATGTTGTTATTTTTCATTGAAATTACTTTCTATAAGTGAAACCAAACCACTGGTTTCAAGGACAACGGTTTTACATTAACAGCCTGTATGTATGTATATATATATATATATATATATATATATATATATATATATATATATATATATACAAAGTATCAAATAATTAAGTTACTAATTACATAGTGTAGTCTTTGGGATACTTAAAAAATGATATATTTGTATTTGTTCTCTATATATCTCCAATTTTGTTCATGCAAATAGTACAGTGAAGACGTACGAATTTCTCATTATTAAAACAAAATTGACACTTTTGTTATTCTTTATATCACCCTATGTTTGAGCACTGGCCGAGCCTTTTTACAGCATTTTTTCTCTGCGTGACTGACCGCCAGTGCTCACGAACACACGCATCTCAAGCTTATAGTAGTGTGATTGTATGGAGCTTTGTTTTTGTACGGAACAGTTACCTTACTCATATGACCATAGTTCCAAAAAGTTTAATTAGAAATTTGTACAGCGTTCAGACAGAATGGAAAAGCAACTTGCGAGGAACGTAAAAATACAACTGAGGTCTTGTCCGGGAATCAAATTTAACTTGGTGTTCAATTACATTTTCTAGAAACTGAAGTTCTAACTTTAGAAAGTTTCGAGTGTATATTTAGCCATTCAGCATTCTTTTTACAGTTTATCAAAATTATTTTATTTTGATAATCTGTACAAATTATTCTAATAAGTCTTAATTTAAAAATAGTCTACAATAACAGGCACCTGAACTAGGATAAACCTGTATCTCAGGTGTATGTGCTAAAAGATACATTAACAAATAGTTTCTTATATAAAATGAATAACGTACTAACTAATAATGGATATTTGGGTAAAATATATTATCATTAATTTACTTATGATATTAATTAACTTAAAACAATCAGCAACTTCTCCGTATCATCGTATGACAAATTTTGTAACCATGTTCGAATTACATATGTACAAAATTGCATTGACTTGATTATACAAAAAAGGGCTTAGGAATGTAAAAAAATCTATGCATGAAAGAATGCCTCATTCTAATGTTAGTTTCAAGTACTTTATCTTTGCGTTTTTTATCAGTGACCTGAGAGGACATTATAGGATTTATTTAAGAGATGGAACGGAAATAGAATAGGGCGGAATGTTGCAACTTTTAATACAGCTCTTTGAGCGCGTTCCAGTGGTAGCAGTGTAGTTTTAGCTGCTCCTCCCCATGAGGTTATACAATAGGTGAGGATTGACTGACATAATGCGAATTATACTTGTTTTACTACCTTAATATCAGCAAAAAAACGAATTGCATAGGTGGTTTATGTGGTTTTTAAATGTAAACGTAGAATCTATAATTATTCCAAGGTACTTAATAGTTTTTGTATTAGAAATAACTGGGCAGTAACATTTAGATTCTGTGACTGAGCAATATTGATGTGCATAAATTTCAGGAATATGCTGGGTTGAGTGCGCATAGAAAAATGAATATATTTGGTTTTGTCCGTATTCAGTGTTAATATGTTTCATTGGAGCCATTTATTAACTCTATCAAAACCTTGCTGAGCATATAAATAAACCTTTTCAACTGTATTTGCGTAAAAAAGAGCACGGTATCATCTGCTTAAGATATTATTTCACCTCAGTTAAGTCCAAAATTGCAAAGGTAATTTATATAAATCAAAAATAGGGTTGGCCCTAGTACACTTCCTTGAGGCACACCAAAATGAGTATTTTTTTGTTGAGCTAACAACCTTATCGATTTTTATGTATTGATATCGATTTTCTAAATAATTCGCAAAAAATTGAAGCTAGATTTACATTGTAAACAATTCATTAATCTGTTATTCATTAATTTTTCTAATATTTTAGACGTAGATAAGTGTATTGAGATAGGCCGATAATTGGAAACGTATTTTTGTCCCCCGATTTGAATACTGGACCTACAATTACTTTTTTTAAACAATTAGGAAAATTCCTTCAGAGAGACAAATTCGGAAAATATAGGTTAATGGTAGTACTAGCATTTGTCTATATTTTTAATATACTAATAGGTATGCCGTTCCATCCAATCGCGCTTGTTTCTTTCAGTCCCATTATAATCCTTTCCACCTCAGTAGGGTTCGTATCTAATAATGTGAATGAGCTTAATGGGCAGTTTCTTTGAGTTAAGAAAGTGGCCCTGTTTTAACGATTTTTGTTAGAATTGTTTGTTATCTGCTCAGGAAGATTTTCACCAACGTTTACAAAGTAATTATTTGCTGTATTTGCTGATATAAGCGGCGAGGAATTATTTTGTAATAATTCTGACCAAGATTCATGCTATTTGGATATAAATGCAATATCTTTTACATGCCGCCAAATCTTTTTATTATCTCTACCAGACTCTTCTAGTTACTTTGTAAGATAATTATACAACTTTTTTAATAAACTGTTACGAAAATTCCTATATATTTTATATGAAATTTGTAAAACGGAATTATCTGAAGAGGATTTTGCCATCAGGTGTAGTTTGTCCCTGTGTTTCATGCAGCTAATCAGGCCGGGTGTCATCCAAGGCTTTAAGTTATTATTTTTTTTAGCTACTATGCTAAGCGAAATATTGCTAGCAATGGAATTTCGTATGTTATTTATTAAGTAAGGCAAAGAAATGTTTACGTCATCGGTTTTAGCTAAAGGCTAAAGTCAATGTTTTGAATTGCTTGTTCAAGGTTTTGATATTTTAAGGCTTAAGTTAAGAATGACGGCACTATGATCGGTTACTATAGGACTGGTGTCAAGGGTTATAGATGGTAACTTAGTTTTTAGTAAAATGTGGTCTAGACAGGAACCACTTATTTATTATTTATTTATTTATTTATTAATTTAATTCAATCAACAAGTATTATAGGGTAAAATAACATTCATTAACATCTATTCTAATACTAAAATTATAAATCATTACTAATATTAATTATATCAAATGCGTAAGTATTTATAATAATATCGAAAATAAAATAAAAATTTAATAATAATAATAATAAAATAACATAAATCGATTTCACCGTTACATATACATCATATCCGATTTAATTATATATTAACAAAACCACCAACAAAATTTACCATAATGATATAATACAATAATTTTGTTAAAAATACAAAGAAAAAGTCTTAACAGTGTGTAACGGAGTAACGTAAAGGTCGCACGTATCTAAATGTTCTAGCTAGTAAAAAAGTTTATCTAGTGAGAATAACCCGTGATTTTGATGTGTATCTATATTTTTTGAACTTTACTCAATTAGTTTTCTAGTATTTAATCAGACAGTGAGTGATTAGTGGAACATAAACATAAAATAAGGAAATAATTAAAAGTAAATATTCAAATGTGTGTTTCTTGAGAAGTTGTTGACTATAACGCGTAAGCGACACGATCTGCACGGCGCTTACGTTCTTTTCATCGAACAGTTCGCTTAGAAGTTTTAACAACCGGGCTGCATTGCTGACGATTAGCTGATTATTTTAAGTCTACCGCTAAGTTGATATTAATATTGCATCCACGGGACATGTCTTCGTCAACAAAGAATAGCAAAATAGTACAAAAATGTGCGGGGTGCAACAACAACTTGCCGCAAAGAGAGTTTCTGGGATGTTCAATATGTAAGTTAAAATATGATTTACTTTGCGCTAATGTATCGAATAAACGTTTTCATTTAATGGATCAGGAGAACAAACGTTCTTGGAAATGTATAGAATGCCGCAGTAAGCAGCCAAAGACAGAGATAATACCAATACGCCGGTACGCGCAAGCACGATATTACAAAAACACCAAGAAGACTTAGTTGAGTCGGATAACTCCGAAAATTCTCATAATATTACGCATCGTGTAAAAATAGTCAAACCAACAGATACGGATAATATACTAAACATGTCTCCTTCTGAGATCTCAGACTTAAGCCCTGCTAAAGAAATGCGGTTATTTTGGTGTGAATTACGTGCAGTCCGTAATGAAATGGTACAATTTAATAGCACATTGTCTGAATTAACGGCAGTTATGAATAAGTATAACGAACGAATTGATTATTTAGAGGCTAAATTAGAGTCATTGGAAGTAAAACAAATTGACAAAGAATCTAACAGAATTGAACACCTAGAAACTACAATAACTCAATTGAAGCTAGACCTTCAAGACCGTGAGCAGGAGATGTTATCCAATGATGTGGAGATAGCGGGTATATCAGAGGTGAGAAATGAAAACCTAATGCACGTCACGTTTACTGTCGCTAAGAAACTAACTGTGGAGATTGAGGACCGTGACATAGTAAGTGTAAAACGCGTCGGGCCAATAAGGGCGCTTGTTGAAGGACAGCCGGTGCCAAACCCCCGACCAATTGTAGTAAGGCTCACACGCCGAGCACAAAAAAGATGCACTGTTGCAGGCAGCACGCGTGAGACGCGGTGCTAACACAGCTGACATGGATCTTCCTGGATCTCCGCGTTTATTTTATATCAATGAACGCCTTACTAAATATAACCGTCAGCTCTTTCTAAAGTCGCGGGAAATATCTAAGCGAAATAAGTGGCAGTATGTATGGACAAGAGATGGAAATATATATATACGTCAAGAACATGGTAAAAAGAGCTATCGTATTCGTTCGGAAACAGATTTAGTTAAGGTTTTTGGTGAAGATATGGTTGGTTCAGTTAGCGTTAGTAAATAATAAAAAATATGCTAAAATTTTTATTGTAAGTAGTGTAAATATAAGAAAAATCATAAAAACGAATTGTAATGTCAACCTTCAAACTGTTTATAATAGTGTCAATTACATATTTTTTAATTATAGATTTATTTTTAGGTGTGTTACAGGGAGTTTCGTGTACACGATCCACCCTTTTATATGTTTAGTTGCTGGTTGCGTTTTGTTCTTTGTATCTGATATTGTTATTATCTATAATTTTCGTATGGGCTTAGAACATCTCACAGTTGCAATACATTTTTTTGAGGACATATGTTTATAATAATGGGTCCTTTAAATAAAAAGCGCAGTTTAACATTGGGGTTACTTAATGTCAGATCGTTAAATACAGGTAAAGATGAGTTATTGGCCAGTCTTGACAAATATAAACCTGACATTCTTGCTCTTAATGAAACGTGGCATAAAAAAAGCGAAGAAAAGATGGCATTATTAGTACCAGGATATACACTTAAAACAAACCACGCCCACGGGATAGCCGCGGAGGTGGTGTAGGGTTCTTTGTTCGAAAAGAACTTCGGTTGCGGACCACGCAACACCCAGAATCACAACTAGAACAAATGTGGCTTGAACTAAAGATTCCCGGCAGCGGACGTGTCGCGATTGGTACAGCATATAGACCAGAATCGGTAGATATTGAGATTGCGATGGATGCACTAAGTGAATCTGTAAGTACTTTCGGATATTGTGATTGCATTTTTTTATTAACTGATTTTAACATTGACCTCCTACGACCTGATAAATTAATGGCTCGCAAATTAAATAAGTTTTTATCGCAACAAGGACTCTTTCAACTCGTTAATGAAGCAACACGCATTACTGATAGAAAAGAATCACTTCTAGATCATATTTTGACCGATTCTCCAGAATTATGCAAAAGTATTAACGTATACTATAACACGGAACTGAGTGACCATGCCATGGTGATTTCCGAACTTAAAATTAATAAACCTAAGGAGAAACAGCTATACAAACACACGAGGTCTTTAGGACAAGTTAATCAAAATGAATTTTTAGCTCATCTGGAAAGTCTGTCTTGGTATGATACTGTAATTGAAAATAATATCCACAAAAAAAGTTCAACAGTTTAGTAGTATGTTGCTTGACGCTTTTCAAATACATGCACCTTTAAAGTTAATTAGGCTAAAACAAAAACCAACACCTTGGATTACAGACAATATAAAATTAATGATGACACTCCGCGAATCTGCTCATAATCTTGCCAATATTTCAGGAAAGGATTCGCACAATGACTATTATAAAAGTCTCAGAAACTTAGTAAATAGCGCAATCAATAGAGAAAAGTCAGCTTATTTTACGTTTTTTATTAACAAAAATCAGGGTAATCCAAAAACTATGTGGAGCCATCTGAAGCGAATATCGCCCGTGGGGAACCAATCAGGACAAATATGCGTACCATCACACCTCTGTAACCCCGATACTATTAATAATTTTTTTATAGAAGTGCCAGGAAATAATGAAATAGATAAAAGTACATTTAAGTACTTCAATAGCAACCGATTAAAAAACACTGAATTTAATAATACAACCGCAACAGAATCTGAGGTTTATAAAATAATTACAGCAATTGGAACTAAAGCCAGTGGACACGATTTAATTAATATAGATATGGTTCGTATATCTTTATCGGTAACATTACCTATAATAACAGGAATAATAAACGAATCCATTACTACTAAGATTTTTCCAGATCCTTGGAAACTGGCCAAAATTAAACCTATTCCTAAGAGTCCAAACGTACAGGAAATTAATAACCTTAGACCAATCAGCATTTTACCTACACTTTCCAAGATATTGGAGAGGGTAGTATGTACACAGTTAACGAGATATTTAGGAGATAATAATATTTTACCAGAAACACAATCCGGGTTTCGTCGAGGGTATAGTACGGAAACAGCTCTGCTGCACGTCACGGATGATATAACTGCAGCTTCTGATAAAGGTGAGGGTAGTATACTGGTGTTATTGGATTTTACTAGAGCTTTCGACTGCATAAACCATGATATACTTCTGGCGAAACTGTCATACTACGGAGTATCGGAGGCAACGTGTAAATGGTTTTACTCATTTTTGTCAAATAGAAGTCAATATGTTGAAATTAACACTGACCAAGGGGAAGTAATACAATCAAGTGTAAGAAGAACGTCACGAGGCACTCCGCAAGGATCTATCTTAAGCCCTATTCTATTCATACTGTTTACAGCGGATATTAGCAAAGTATTAAAACATAGTAAAATACATCTGTATGCCGACGATACTCAAATTTATCATTCGTTCAAGCTAGAACAGACGGAAAATGCAGTTATGCAGTTAAATGAAGATTTGTCGGCAATCTTCCAATGGGCAAAAAAAATGGTCTAACCCTTAATCCTTTAAAATCAAAATATATGGTGCTAGGAAGTAAAACACAATGTAAAAAAATATTAAGTAAGAAACCGGAAATACTCATCAACAAAGAAAAGGTACTCAGAGTGGATCATACTAATAACCTTGGTCTTACCCTCGATAGCCAACTGCGATTTAATGAACATGTAAATATTAAAGTACGTAATGCTTTTTATCGTTTAAAGGTTTTATATGGCATAAGAAAATACTTAACAGTAACGATCAGGAAGACCTTAGTTGAGTCGTTAGTGTTATCACATTTTAATTACTGCGATACCGTCTATGGCCCACGACTGTATGCAAAAACAAAAAAGGCAATTCAACGCGTGCAAAACGCATGTACTCGTTTTTGGTTTAACGTCCCAAAAAAGAGCTCACATTACTCCATATATTAATGAAAATGATATTTTAAAAATGGACGCACGTAGGAAACTCCACTTGGTTTGCTTAGTTCACAAAATTATTAGTAACAAAAGTCCACTGTATTTATACAATAAATTAGATTGGAGTAAGAATGCCCATGAAGTAAACACACGTAAAAGAGTCTCAAACATGCTGAATATTCCATGCCATAAGACTAAAAACTTCAAAGGATGTTTTAAATATTCGGCCGCAAAAATATGGAATGATTTGCCACCACCCTTAAAAGAAAATTTTAATATTAATTCTTCAACATTAAAAAAAAAGTTAAAAAGGAGTTATTACACGAACAGAAATCTTTTTAGGCCGAATAACTGTATGTTTATTCTGTAATAAGTATTTTTATCTAACACATATTGACTGTATAGAGGTTTACAAACAATACATAATTAAGTACGATGTGCGTGCGACCAAAATATACCCAAAACAGCAGGGACTGGCTGAAAAACAGTGCTGAGCATAATGCCCAGCGAATACTGAGCCTGTGCCCGTTGCCTCACATTATAATCGTATACTGAGTAATATTAGTTAATCTGTTAATTGTGAATGTTTTTTTTTTATTTTAAGTCTAATCATTTTTATGTGTATACTTACTTTGTAAACTTTTCATTTGTAAACTTATTATTGTGTGGCAATAAATATTTATTATTATTATTAAATATAACTTAAATGAGTAGGGAGCAAATGTGCTGGAAGTAGGCCCTGGCATGCATAGATATTAAGGTAGTCTTTTGCTCCGCCTTCACTGGCTTCTGGGTTGAGATCAATATTAATATCACCCGTTAACATTATATTTTTGAACGACAACAGTTCAGACAGATAAGACGTGATAAAATTGTCTATTTGCTTAAAACCACAAGGTCTGTAAACAGCAAGGATAGCAGTTTCATGACCAACTTTCACCAATAAACTACTACAATCTAGCGTATTAAGTTCTTCGACTGATATGTTCGTATGTCTTAATAAAAAAAAAACATGAATAAATAAAAGAAGGTTAAATTTTGTCTAGAGAAATAATTAACCATACCCTATAAATTCAGTGTGCTTATTTTTCATTTAATAAAGTAAAAGTCAGTCGTTATACATCCCGTCAGGGGGTTTTAGTTGGTCTACCTCTAAGTATACACAGAAAAAACATAGATTTACGTAACTATAGAGGCAAAGAGGTAGAATGTTTCTCAGATAAGGTGATGCTCGACAGACTCGAAACTTGTTGATTTATGGCTTCCTATCGTCCCTTTCTATTGCTGGTTGTGTAATGTTATGTTTAAGTAAGCACAGTATTAATATCTTTTACTGCACTCACTAGCATCCCCTTTCCAAAGTCTAGCAATAATTATGAAAAAATATATAATAGTGGCACGAACTTGAATGATAGGTATGTAGTAATCTATAATTATAAAAAGAATGGTCCTGATTGACTGACTGATCTAACAACGCACAGCCTAAACCACCGTAGTTAGATACTTGAAATTTTGACAATAGGTTTTTGTGATGTAGGTGGAATGGCAAAGGAAGAGTTTTTTGAAATTTAATCCCCAAGGGACTTAAAACGGGGGTTAAAGTTAATATGAAAGTCCGTCATTTTTCAAGATATATCCATCCATGAAACTCGGCATATAGGATGTTAAATTAACACGTTTTGCTCTATTTTTAACAATGCTACCCCGTATAACCCCTATATATAGGGGGTTGATTGTTTATATGATAGTCCTTCATTTTTCATGTTGTTTTTCATTTTATTAGAAACTAGGTATTTTGGCTCTTTATTAAAAATAAAGAAGTACGTATTTTACATTTTATGAAAATTCTACCCCCAAACGTGTAAAATAGGGGTTGATAGTGTTACGCGCTCAACGTCATACACTAGCGCCATCTAGTGTCA